ATTTACTTCAGCAAACACTTCGCGCACAAAAAGTCTAATAAATCGAGTTAGTTCTGAGATGAATGCAGATAATTCGCAGGTTTCTCTTTTTAAAGAACCTACATATAGAGATTGAAGTTTAAAATACGACGTGTACCAGATAGATGTTAGTGGAGGTGACGCTTCGACTTAATAAATAAATAACATCCTTCAACTTCGGATAAGACGTCAATATTAAATCGTACTAGTTTGTGCATTGTAAGTTGAACGTTAGAGATAGAGAAAAAATGTATCACGTTTTGATTAAAATGTAGCACTGGTTACCCCCTCTTTCTAGGAACATGGGCTGTGACCAAGCTAGGGTGAAACGGCGGTTCGGACACTCAACGTAAGCGATTGGGTGTGGTAAAGGTCAAAGGGCAGGAAGTTGTCGTTTCACTCTAGTTTTAGATATGCATTTACCTTATGTTTTTTTCCCCTGCTTCATTATCTCCATGCCACAGTCCCAATCTTGATGCGGCTTCATTCACCGATACTGCGATGCCTCTTCGTTAGCAGACAAAGGCCGCCGCAGGCACACACGTTTTTGCCTCTGCTTCATGTGTTCAGTTCCTTTCAATCCTTTAGACAAAACTCCGCCTCTTCTTGTGGATAAACGATAAGGAAACGGCGGACATCCGTTCGTACCTTGCTGGCAGGAAAGTTTTTAAAAAAGTCTTCCTTTCCTTAGCAATAGTCAGGCTGAACTTGGGTTAATCTATCGTGTGAGCTCATTTCTAAAGAGAGTTCCACAGTGTGTCCAGTGACGAAAGCCACTACGGCTGACTTTACAATCTTATCTTTATGCATAAACACATCACCATTCCCCACTCTTCGTAGTAAACATTTATCACCGTAACACACACAGTTTTCTCTTTCTTAAGATCCACAATTTCCCACATGAGACACTTAATTGATGTCCTATTTCAGAAATAAGCACAAAACGAACATTTTGTACACACATTATTGGTAAAGATGTTTTGAGTATTTCTCAGACACACTGGTAATTAGTGTAAACTTTACATAATATGACATATTCACGATTAATGTAAATATGAGTAGTTAGTTATATAGTATAGACTGGGCGTTTGCCTAATAATAGCTTGTCTGGACTGTAAATCCAATGATTCATGGTTTGCTTTTCGTTGCCCTAGGAACGCGGCACTCAGCACTTAGGGGACCACATGTGTTCATAAAAGACTAAAAGTCAAATCCCATTATTCTGCCATACAAGAGCAGCCTAAGAGTTGACAATGGGTGCTCTTTGCTAGCCTTTTTTCATCTAGTCATATCACTTTTCTGGTTAGTATCGAATATCACTTTCTAAATCAAACCTTGAGACAACGTTTGGTAGGGTTAGTTTGACGCAGAACGTTTGGTAGGGTTAGTTTAACGCAGTGTGCGATTTATCATCGCCTTTTAAGATTTGATATTTCAATGACCATCACTCAAACTCAAACACTGATACAAAGATATCAGAATTATCTCTAAGAACTATGACTTTATAGTACAATTAATTCTCACCAAATAATCAAGTTGGACCCTTTATTTTCAGGGCATGTTTCAAACAATTTATAGTACAATTAATTCTCACTAAATAATCAAGTTGGACCCTTTATTTTCAGGGCATGTTTCAAACAAGTTATAGTACAATAAATTCTCACTAAATAATCAAGTTGGACCCTTTATTTTCAGGGCATGATTCAAACAATTTATAATACAATTAATTCTCACTAAATAATCAAGTTGGACCCTTTGTTTTCAGGGCATGTTTCAGATAATTTTTATATTACAATGTAATATAAATCTTCACATGAATACATTGAAGAACATAGATCGAGATTAGTTAGTAACGAAAGCTGGACGTTTTTCTGTGAATCTTTCAGATTTATAAATATCAGGAAAGTAATTGCGGTATGATTGTGACGATCGGATAAGCAGTGACCAGTAAAAATGCACCACAGTGACCAGTAAAAATGCACCAAAGTTAGGGAAATTAATTTCGGAAAAAACAGGAGAATGCAAAACATAATCTAAGGCGAGCCCTGGACACCCCGGCCGTAATGGGTGTGCCTGTGGCGCACATTTCCTTGCTTTGCTTGATCAAATAAAACTTGCCTCCCACCTCCCACATACACACACTTTTAATTTGTCTCCTACACCTCTGTATAGCGTTCATTGTCATGGTTACTAGCCTATATAATCACCTAAAATTAATTATTTAGTATTTGTTTTATAAATAGTCATAGTGATTACTAACTAGTAAATATGATATATACCTTTACCAAAGTTTTCGTCGAAGACTGATAAGAAACAAACAAGCTGATATGTTCTCTCGAGAAATGTTCACAATTAGATTAGCAGCTTAGGACCATTTTTTGATGCAGTATGAACCAAAATAAGATAGATGACAGAAAAAAGGCGTAATTTATGTGTGAGTTAAGTAGTTCAGTTAACTTACACGATCTTTTTGTTTAACTTAATGTCTTGATCGTGTCTTTTCGACTTTTAAGTTTTGTATTGACTCATTATTTTAGACAACACCAGTCAACTTGAAAAAAAAAACAATTATAGGGGTCGAAGTGAGTGCTACCCGTTGTGTTGGAAGATACGGTACAAGTGATGTCTCCGCCCTATTTCGACGCTTATATTAAGTCACGTCGAGAAACAAGTTTCTACTGAAACAGGTAGGATTTCAAACAAATTTATCCAGGTATCTCGTGGTTAAGCTCTTTAATCCGGATTAATCGCGGTATACACTAGCCTCTGGATGATGTAATCTTTCATGGAAGACGAGGAGTCTCTTGTATGCTGTGATTTTTGTAAATCAAATAAACTCTGGTCATATTACATGTACTTGTATATTCTGATCTTTTAAAAAGTGCTGTGTACGGCAGATGTAAATGATGTTGTTATAAATTGTAGGGTGTATAACTGTTTCGAATGTGATGACCGAATTTGGCTGTTTTGAATTATATTTTCGCTTGTTTTTAGATTAAAGCTATGTTGGGCTATTTGGTGTGTCCACCGCGGGGAATCAAACCCTGGATTTTAGCATTACAAGTCCGTAGACTTACCGCTGTCCCACTGGAGGGCATCATATTGTGGTATAATAGTTTTGAAAGGGGTTGTGTATGGAGGTTTTAAATCTTTGGGTTATATGACTGTTTCAAATGTGACCGAATATGGCTGTGTTTAAATCATATCGTAGTATAACATTGAATTTTGTTATAGATGACAGAATTAAATAGTATTGGATATGGGTGTTTTTAAATCATATTGTAATATAACATTGAATGTTGTTATATATGACAGAATTAAATAGTATTGGATATGGGTGTTTTTAAATCATATTGTAATATACCACTGAATGTTGTTATATATGACAGAATTAAATAGTATTGGATATGGGTGTTTTTAAATCATATTGTAGTATAACATTGAATGTTGTTATATATGACAGAATTAAATAGTTTTGGATATGGCGGTTTTTAAATCATATTGTAATATACCACTGAATGTTGTTATATATGACAGAACTAAATAGTATTGGATATGGCGGTTTTAAATAGTGATTAATAGTTTTAAGAACAACTCTTCGAAAGTAAACTGGATATATTGATTAGAACTAATATAATTTTAAAATCAATTAATTAAGAACACCCTGTATAATATAAAATAACGCACCAGAAGACTAAAACCTATCATAAATAGATTGTAAATAATCATCAGTTGGGGATCCTCGCTGTTAACATTTTCGGCTGTAATCCCAATAATATCTCGCTTGGGACAGCCACCTTAGGAAAATTTTGGGTTAGTTTAGTCTTAAGGCCATACACTAAACATACATGACAAAATAATCTTCATGAGTGTAGTTATAACGAAAAAAACATCTTTTAAAGTTAATAAAGTAATTACAAAACAAAACTCAAATAATAAATTACGAATTCATTAAGAGAACATGACTATTTCAAATTGTGTATATTGAATATCTTACACTGTCGGAGCCATTTAATGGATTTTCATTGGTCACAAGACATTTTTAGAGAGGATTGTAAAGTTTTGCTCTTATACGGTGATACTTATCTTATTGTGTTCAACGAACATTGAGTCTCTGACAACTTGTATTTGTGTGTTCCGTAAATGAGATTTACCCCATCATTCCTTTATTGTTACTTTCAGTAACAGTATTAGTTAATGTTTAATATATCTAGTTTTATTACTTTTGACATTGTTTTGCATTGTAAGCTTCGTATGTGTATTTAGGAGTAACTAATTTAAATCTCCTAAACTGGTCGAACTGCGTGAGATATTATTGGGTTTACAGCCAAAAATATCGTTAACAGCGAAGTTACTTATACAACTGACGAAATAATACGTTCCAATATTTATAAACAAGAACGTAAGAAAATTATATTCAATTAAATAAAATCATTATCTGGTTAGTTTTCGGTTTCAATTTAAGTAAGTAGCTTGCTCTGGCCGGAAGTTAATGTTAATTTCAAAGTTCGCGCCCCCAGTGGCACAGCGGAATGTCTGTGGACTTACAACGCTAGAAACCGAGTTTCGATACCCGTGGTGGGCAGATCCCAGATAGCCCATTGTGTAGCTTGTGCTTAATTCCCAAACAAACAAAATTCCAATTTCACAAATCTTCTAAAATCACAGAGAAGAAAACTTAGTTATTCTTGAGGTATTTTCTTATATAAAAATCAGAGATAACATCCTGAATTAATGTAATAAAATAAGTGCAACGTATACCAACAAGAAGCTCTTGAACTGTCTAATTTAGACACAGAAGCTGCTCGTGACTTGATTTTACTGCAAATACTTTAGCCGTGCCATAGCGTGATAATGTGAATCTTTAAATCGATATTACTCCTCTACCATTTTGGTTTAAGTTGGCAGGCTGCCCATATTTGTAGTCCCTGTAGGTTGTAGGAGAGTAATTTCGGTTTTAAAACTTACATTTAGGTGAAATATATTTTAAATAAGATATACGTTTAAAGTTTATAATTTAAATAAAAAGTATAAACTATTTTTTAAAGGCACAAGTTATAAAATAAATTATATTATTATCTAAACCTAATTGATTAAAAGGAACCTTAATCAAAATTAAAATATTTCTAACTTTAACAATAAAATTACACTTATATTCCATAGAACATAGGTGTATTTTTTTTAATTATTTATTTGCTTTGTCCTCAGTAACCTTAAAGTTTATTTGGTATACTGAAAGTACATCTAAAATACGCGCCAAAATCTCTGGACTCCTATTTTGTAAACGTTCGCCTCCTAACGACTTTCAATAAAAATTTTGAGAAGTGTCAAAATGGTCAATAAACTATTTTCAATAATTAATCTGTTTTTTCCCTTTTCATTACAAATTCTAAAGAGGAAAAGGTTTGTTCAATCCCCTAAGATAATTAGAATTGCAGAAATAAAAATGTCTACTCATTTCGAGGGAACTATTTTCCGGATTTCTAACATGATACCTATGTAAATTAACTCTTAATTTCAAAACATTATTTTTCCAACACACACTTTTCTTGAAATAGAACATTTTAAAACATAAATTACAGTTTTTTGGAATTACAAATAAAAGAGCATTTCATCTTAAGTAATCTCTGTTCTTTCGGTTCACAATTAAGTTTCCTTGAATCCATAAATCATTAACACTAACTAACACTTGTTAGTTTTAGATTTATCCATGTTATGTTATTCATGACCTCATGACGGCTTTTAAAACACATTTTCCTCAACTATTCAGACACCAACTTGCTCGTTGGTCCAACAACTTATTAGTTAGAGTATTCTTAATAATACAACAGTTTTAACACATACAAAGTGTTTACAAAAATAACATTCACATTTCAGTTAATCCCGCACGTTATTGCAGGGGTTCCCTATATATTTTACACAGAATATGGGGGATTTCACACAATTGTTTTGGTCAGTTCCAAAGTGAACTGCATAAAACCGGGTGAGTAATTTGAGGATTAAGATGATTTTAGGAAAAGGAAGATTGTTTTTTAAAAAAAATAATCTTTTCTTTCAAAGATGAAAAGCCTAGTTGTAATTTAATCGTATTCGAAGAAAGGTTCACAAAGGAATGACTACTTTGCTTGACGATCTTGATGACTTCAGATTCTATAAATCAATTTTGAATTTCAGGTTATAGTTTTCAATTAAAAGGTTACAAAAAGCAGTATATTTCAAGCTCGAGCACAAGATGGGACCATCCAAATTACCACGATACAAGGTCTCGTGTTAAACCGACTATACAACGATTTTTATATTATTGGTATTTTCAAATCGAACGGCAACTTATGCGAACACAAAGGCTAAATGATCAGGTAAGAATCCCTTTAATTCGCATACGTAATTCTAATATAGACCTGCTGACCAGAGGAAGGGCACCCGGTCAACAGTTCCGCTACCTACGCGAATACTCTTAACCAGTTAGCGAGAATTGACTGTTATTTTCATAGCAATTCGAAGCTGCAAATGCGGGGCGTCTACGGGAGTCACGTCTCGAACCTTGAAACCTTCGATCCACAACTAAAAAAAATAAAAAAATCCCACTTTTTTAGTGCTTCTATAGGTGCAGAATTAACGAAGTCCTGAAAAACATATAAAGAAATAAAGTTGTATATTCTCAATAAAGGTAAATATTGATAATCTATTATTTTATAAGTCTTATATGATAACCAACACTAGGTAGCATTATCTCTGAATTATATTAATTTACTTGTATTAATATAAAACACTGTAACTTAAAGTATGGTTATTGAGTTTGCCATAACTTTATACACGACTGTTGTATCACTTTAATCAATTTGATAGCTACGTTTAACTCACTTTCTGATAAAACACAAACTTGTATACCATGGTTTCAGCCTTATTATCCCGACATGACTGACTCAGTGCGTTTCGCTACTTTTATTAGAGGGTTATGCTGGTGCAGTAATTCATAGTTTAGTTATATTTATATCAGTTGTGTTGGTAAGAATAGAAAAAAATTACACAGGTGCTACAGTATTAATCAACCGGTTTTGAAACGAAATCTTTTGGTGAGCATCATTAGAGTAAATCCGCCAGGTGACAGCACTGCTCAGCATGCCCAAAATGGAAGAACAGGAAATGTGAATAGCTTTAAGCAAAATTCACAGCAATGGTTCAAAAGAGTACCTACGATAGGACAGGGTATTCTACGGCTTTTATATTTGCTCCAACAAACCAATCAAATTATCAATTCTTTTTAAAGAGTAAATTGATATTTTTTTCCATATACATAATATATATGTATATATCAAGGCTAGCTAGGTGGCTAGGGCACTCGACTCGCAGTCTAAGGGTTGCGGTTTCGAATACCCGTCCCACCAAACATGCTCGCCCTTTCAGCCGTGGGGGCGTTATAAAGTGACGATCAATCCCACTATTCGTTGGTAAAAGAGTAGCCGTTCACTATTCTTTTTATGGAATAGCACTAATACTCGTTTCGTTCTCCTTTGTGTACATGTGATTTGTGTAACTTTTCCAGATGGAGATCATTTTTGATTATGTTGCTACGATTACCTGTATTACGTGGAGGGCCTTTGCTACTGATCTTTGTGTTCAAGGATTCGCATTTTGCTTACTGGCTGGGGTACGACTTGTTGCAAGTCTCTTTCTGGGTGGGCCTTGG